GAAAGCGGCAGCAGCAAGACCCAGTGGCTCGGGGAAGTGGCATCTGGGACAGCCAGCATCACTCCTGTGCTCTCCCATTTCCCCAGCCTCTTCCTGAGCTCTTTTCCTTCATCATGAAGTGAGGCATGATCAGAACCGTCCGCATCAGGGTTTGTTGTTCATGGATGAGCTGGGAAATGGCTGCATTGCCCACCCAGGGCAACACCCATGGAGCTTGTGACCCTCTTTGGTGGAGGGTCAGACTCGTGCTCCCCCCATACACAGCTGCTCAACTCCCAATTTCCATGTGGGACTTAATCTTCCCATCCTGAAAGTCCACCCCTGTTGAGGTCTCTCCCTTGGCTGTTCTCCCCAGATCGACCCAACAAGCTGACCCACCGCCAGCCTTTGCTTGTTGTGCTCAGAGGAGGGTCAGAGCTGGCAGCATGGGGGTCCTGCCTGGGGGCTGTGCTGGCATGCAGAGTTGCTCCCCCCTCAAAGGTCGTTCACGTGTGCGGGAGGACACCCACGCACAGCAGCGTGGCTTGGACAGACACAGCTCAGCCAAGCAGACAGCACAGCCAGGGATGTGCTAGTGCAGAGCAGAGCCAAGACGAGGCAGGATGGTGTTAGTTCAGGACACGGTGCTGGCCTCCTCCGGTCCCAGGAAGGGTGGGGTGGGGTTTTTTCCTTTTTTCTCTCCTTTTTCCATCTTGGTCATTTGGAAGCGCAGGGCAGAGCTGATCCCTGCTCCCCTCTGCACATGTGAGGCTGCTGTGGTGGTCAGGAGAATGGCTGGGACGGGGGCCAGAGGCCTCACGCAGAAGGTTTGACCTGTCCCTCCGGAGTGGGGTGTTTTTGGCTGTGTGTTCATTCCAGTTTGTGTTATGGGGAGGTCCAAGCTCCCACCTGCTTCAGTGCTGGGGTACCAGGTGTGAGCAATCCTGCCAGCACTCAAGTCTGTGCTGCCAGTTTTTGTTTTGTACCTTGTTTGGCTATTTTGTTTAAATATCCAGCTTCTGGAGTTGGGTGAATAAGGGCAATTCCCTATTTCCTTGTTAAATAGAGGGCTGTGCTTCTGGCTGCAGGATAAGCAGGTCCCAGGACTGATGGGGGATGCAGGTAGCACAACAACAGGACAAGCTGTGAGCTGCAGGTAAGACAAGGTCTCCTTCTGCAGGCACGGTTCCAGTGGCTCCAGCTCTCCCTTTATTTGGTGCTTGCCGTGAGGGCACTTTCAGCTAGTGCAAAGGGTTTTGGGGCTACGCTGTTGAGAGGGATGGGGTAGAGTGGGACAGAAGCCCCATTCATGTGGAGTTCTGGCCTGAAGACTGTTCTTAGGACCTGTACATCACAGAAGCTGGCTTAGCTGGGTACTTGAGGGTCTCTTAATGAAACCTCAGTGTGGTCTCAGCATTCTCCCACAGCTTCTGTAGGCAGGGTCAGGCCAGTATG